CAGAAACTACTACCTTCTCAAAACCCTGCCAGATCCTGAGCAGTAAATAAAGCAAATCACAAGATATAACAGGAAAACTCAGTTACATGGTGTTATGCTCTACATATTATTGTTATGCTCTGAACTCTATAGATTTATTTATGTAAGTCTCTGCGCTTGGCTGATCATTTGTGTGATTTATGCAGCTGCTTCATCCTAGGTAATAACCTGAAATGGTAACTTAGTCATCACTCCCTGTAGGTATTTTTCTGCATTGCTGTTCCAAATAGCAATAATAATAATTTTCAATGATAAAGTGAAATCAGCACTCTTCCTAACAAGTGTTGAAATAATTGTGTTCCAGTTGTGATTTATATACATATGTTATTTAAATCAGAAGCAAAAATCAGAATACTTGAAGATGCTTACTAGTAATACATATATAAAGATTTAAAAACATTCAGTTAGGTCCTTTTTCGTTTCCCTCTTTACAGCCTTCTGTCCTGGAACACTGGCAGTGTGAGAAAGCACAGTGCTGCTGAAACAAAAGAAACATAAGAGAACAAAGGAAATAGGATCCCAATGTATTCCAGAAATACGAATGCTGTGCTACTGAAATTGTCTCACCTTCAATCCCTTTATACCATTTCATCTAGAGCTGAAAAAGGAATAGTATACTAGTAAAAACAACCATATGAAATGGATTTTAAACTCTGAAGTTGAGATGGTCAGTAACTGATGAGTTACAAGTTTGCTGTATTCCCTCATCAGTCAGAAGGCTCTTAAGGACACCCACCCACTAGGCAGCCTGAGATAGCAGTGTTTGTTATTTTGTTATTAATTTTTAAAACAAAACCCCTAGATGTCATCTTGCATTTCAGTAGCTTTATTTTATGGTGTTTTGTTTTTTTTTAATTTCCCTACACTCACAATATGTTTTGTGTTTGTAAGCTGAATGATCATCCGCCAATTTTGTACTCAATCAAAAAAAGCTGTTCTTTAGGGGAAAAGGTCTTACAGTAAGACGATCAAAAGGTAAAGGAAGTCAATTGGGTTCCTTTGTTATTTTTATCACAAGATAAGCCAATGCAAATAATTGGAAAATAATTGGAAAATCCTTATGCATAATTTTAATTTATTTTAATTTCTTAATCTTTGTAATTTCAGTGTTGCTTTTATCCTTGTGGAATGCATATATTTTTGTTCAAATATATACTTCTTTATGTATATTGATCAGAAGGAAATTACTCACAAATCTTAATTATGCTTATTTTTGCTTTTCATGAATATTCTAGCAAATTAGCTCTTTTGCAATACCTGTAATAACAGCTGAAGGAATTCCCCTAGAAATGTAAATTTAAACCTAAATATTTGCACTAAGACCTTGCCTATATTTACTCAAGGGGCAGAAATAATATGACTCATAAATAATACCCATTATTACAACTCACATTTTAACTTAATGCAAACCCACTCATATACATACATCTACAGAAATACTACCCATCCAGCTTCTTTTATATTTCTGTATAGTATTTGAATTTCATGAGTTTTAAGCTTTCACATACCCTTCTCTATTTTTCACATACATTGTCTTGATTTATTTGTTGTAGATAATTATACTGGGAAAGTGATAAGTGTTTATGTATAGAGGTGAAGAAAACCCAGCATTTCCAACCTGTTTAAAACTTGTTCAAGAGGACAGAAAGGGTACTTGAAAACTTATTTTAAACTTCTATCAGTTGTTGTCTTTGTTTTTTTTAACTAAATAAGACATCATATTTTTGCATAACTTCAGAGCACAGCAGTTATTACATACCTTTTGTCTCACTGGCTTTCAGTAACACTTAACTTTTCTTATAATTTGGCTTTCCTCAGTTGTACCCTCTACAGCTTCCAGGTGTGCCCAATATCACCAAGCTATCTTTGTCTGCTAATAAAACGACACACATTTATGGAAAAATTACTGCATCTTGCAAACAGAGTCATCCATAATGTCTGATATTCCTGTCGATGAAATGAGTGGTGCCCCCAAACAAAGCAGCAAGCCTCAATTATTCAGCTCCAGGCTGAGAAGAGATAACTAATCTCCCATTCTGCAAGCACCATTTGTCACAATCTCATCTGATCTCTCAGTACTGGTGAGTTGGTGGTACAGCATCACACTCTAATGACAATCATTTACAACAAAAGCATAGGACTGGGTTAACAATTGCAAATGAAATAAAGGTGAGTACATGCTCAAAATGGTATTTTAAAAACCAAGATTTATGACTTCTACTTTTGCTAAGACATCCTGTAATTGTTGTATTTTCCTCCTCCACCTACTCTCATTGTGTGTGGATGAATACACTTACAATTAAAAAATAATTTGTTATGTTTATTTAAGAAGACAATACCGTGATAATTATATGTAAGGAACAAACACGTATGCTGAAGAGGTGTAGGAAATCTGAACAGCGTGCTTTATTTTAATGGTCACTTCTGTTTTACCTGGAATGCTTCATGGCTTCACATTCGTAATAGTTACAGCATTGAAAAAACACAGAAAATTCATAACCTAAAGTTTTAAAGTTATATCACCCTCCAAAACTATATCAAATACACCAATTGGACTGCTACATTGACCTACCAGTAACTAAAATTTAGGCAAGCAATAATTTTTTTTCTATAATACCAAGGTGTAGTCTGGCATGCAAAGCCCTACAAATCCAAGAATTTCTTTCTCTGCTTCTGTCCACATCTGAAAAAGACTGAGCTCAGTCAAACAAGCATATAACCTCTAAAGAAGAAAGTTAGCAACTCTGTATGGACATTTAAGAAAAGACATTTACAGTCTGTAAGCACTGGTAAAGACACCAGCTGAACAGAGACTTCTTACTCACTTTTTTTTAATAGTGTATTTCTTATATTGGTAAAGCTGTAGCAGCTAACAGCTGTTTGCATTATGCTGGAGTATTAACATTGTATTAATATTTTATTTTAAACAGAATACCTTAGTTCAGAGTATATGTTATCTATAAAGTCCAATTCTCTTTCTGGCAATCTTTGAAAGCGTGATACTGTGTTGGGGAAGGTTAAACATGTTTTTCTGGAACTGTTTCCTAGCCCAAGAAAGTTATATAGCTTATAATGCTGTTCACAGGATAATTATGCAGAAAGTTCTATGATTTTCTTTTTGGTTGGGAGTTTTTTGTGTTTTATTTTTGTCATAATTTCTTTTTGCAAAAGACACACATCCCACATGCAGGACCACTGGTTTATAGACAGATGCTAAATATTAGACAGCAGAAAGCAGTTTTTAAGTTTTCAAAGAATACTAGCTGCACTGTCACTCACTGAATGCTATAAAAATAATGTGATATCGTAAGATTTTTTTTTTTTTTTTTTTAATATGTAGCATAGTAATGTATGTAACGTAGTAAGCTATGTTATTTTGAACCCAGGCAGGAATGTCTTACCTTTTCATAAGCCATGTTGGAGGTTTGGGGGACAGGTTCTTCTTGATCAGTTGAAACACTATATGAAGAGTGTTACAGTTTTGTATGGAGAGGAAATGAAGGACAGGTGGAAGGTTTCTTCCAGCCTTTCAATTCTCTGGCTTTCTGTGTAAACAAAGCAGGATTCCTAGGCTGAAAACTGGAGCAGCATAATTTGGTTACATGGCAGAAGCTGACTTTACAGGAGTAGCAAGTTCTGCTGCAGTTCTATTTTGCCATGCAGAGATGGATTATAAAGCCTCTGCAAGGATCAGCCCAGCCACATACACTCACTCCAATTGGGACTCTTCCTGGTGCTTTTGTGGGATGTAAAGTTTGCAAGAGCCTGGGGTGGGCTTCTAACTTCCCAGAATTGTTTTTATCTTCACTGACTCTTTCCAAAGGAAACTTCAGGAAGGAACAAATGCCTGCATGTTCAGCCAAAGCTCCATACCCTGAAAGAAGGTATGTGAGCACCTTCACAGCTACAAGGAACAGCTAGGTCTTGCAAAAACCTCATCTGACAACCAAGCGGCAGATGGCTCAGCTACTGCACCTGAAGAGCTGCTCTCAGTGCCCCTTAGTCTTGGAATGCCCAACAGCTGTGAGGAAGGGAAAGATGCTGAGATGTTGCCCTGGACAACCTACATGCACAGCACCAAAATGTTTCAATAGCTTTTGCTTTGGGAGTGTTTAGTCCCATTAAACATGAGATTGCCTATACCACAGACACACAGTTCAGCTAGCTGTGGTTATCAAAGGCTAAATAATAAAACATAACTGTTGTCAACAATTTAAATCCATTTAGGGGGAAACTCAGTAATCATGCTGTCATACCTCCCAGAAAACAAAGAATATGCACATCTTTCAAATCCCAAGGGCACAGAACACACCTGTGTTCTCTTCAGAGCAGGAGGATCTTCTGAGCCTGTCTAAGCTTCATGCCAAAGCCAGTGGAGAATGAGGAGCTGGATGACAAGTACCTGTAGGTTTTACAGCTACACAGGCATTACTTCACATGTGGAAGCCAAGACCCACTTACCTAAGATTTTACAATGTAGTTTTCCTTTTAGATGTACTGAAATTGCTGTTATCTTCCAAAATAAGGTGCAGTTCAGTAGAACTCCACAACTGAACAGAAATCTAAAGCTTCCCATTACCTTCAGTTAAACACCCTGGTAGCATGTGTTGCATGTTTTCTTGCTTTTCTTTATATGAAACCCTCCATCCACAGCAGTCTTCCTGTATGTTCACTCCTTGCTTATCTCTTTCAGTATTGCCTAATCAAGGTGCAAACTGCACTGCACATTGAAGAGAATTTCTGTCCCACTTAATAATTTGTGACTCCAATCTCTGTTTGCAGGAAAATGTTTCCTATTCTTCAGAATACCCAACTATTTTCCTGACAGCTGCTAAAAATCAATAGACTAAAAAAAAATTAGATCTGAATGATCACATTTTTAACTGGCTGTAATGCAAAGAATACTCAGAAAATAAAGAATACTTATAATACTTAGAAAATGAAGTCCGAGGATGTTTGCACACATTTTACACGTCCTTCTGCAACTGCACTACCCATAAGCATCTAGTTGTTCCAACTATATGCATGCATATCTCATTAATCCTTAAGTTTACATGTATTTAATTCTTTCTGCAAATACTCACCAGCAAAAGATCCAAAAATCAATGACAAATGCATGAGTCTGCACTGAAATTACATGCACAAATGCGTATAACACTTAGAATGCTTATTGCAGCTGTAGATCTAACTTTGAACAATTTCTGCATGTATGAGAAAAGGGCTACAAATTATTTTAGTATGCTTGTCCCATCCTTGGAAATTCCCAGTTCTTGCATATGAGTGAAACTGGGAGTTGTGAAAGGGGATGACATTTATGGTGTTCTTGCACATGAGGATGGCAGGGAGAGGACAAAAGATAGGTTGAATTGAAAGGGGATAAACACCTGTCAGTTATTCTGTTCTATCTGCAAGCAGACAAAGCCAAAAATCATTCTGATAGCATTTGTTCATACAAAAACTATTTTGATTATTTTTCAGAAGCTATGCCACTCCAATTTACTGAACCATTTCTCTCGTGAGAGTTTAATTTTAAATTGGTTGACACATCCTAACAGGCTAAATACAACTCGGCACACTGACATAAATCAAAATACTTGTTTTTACTAAAATTTCTTTAAAAGAGACAAAGGGGGCAGAGTACCTGATAACAGACTGAAAGACTTACCTCCAGCATCCTTCAGTTTAACATTAGTCTGATGATTTTAGTTAGCTAAACCTGATGGGACCTGTTAGCATCAATAAATCTAACAATTCTTGCTAGCCCCTAAAGAAGAGCTACTTGGACAGACAAGAGGAGAGCAGTGTGACAGAGGCTCAACTGCAGAAACAGAGAATGTGCCTTTCCTCCCCTCTTCAATTTACAGACCGAATAAGAACAGTGTGGCCACAGGACTCTGGAAGCTCTTGATATACAGGAGAGGAGAACTAATCAGAAAGTACCTTTTCTTACTACTTAGTTCCTTCCATTTTCAAATTATGCTCCTTTGTATCACCCAGAATGATGACTAATTCTTTTGTAAAACAAAGGTTTGGAAGGAAGACTTAACATCCAAGTTCAAGTTTCTATAAAGGTCAACATACCAGCTATTTTAGCTATAAGTATCACAGTTATTCACAGACAAGGTAAAACAGTGATTTTCAAGGTGTGGTCAATAGATTCCTGGGAACACTTTACTACAGGCAGCACTCAAAAACGTTTGTATGAAGACCAGCTGCACGCTATGTACTGTTTGTGTTTGCAGCTTTTAAACCATGTGTTTAAAAAAAACACTTTTTCCTCTCCTGTTACTACCATGCAAGCAATCATTGTGGTAACATTACAAATGATACATAATAAAGACAAGGTCCACTGCAAGACCTTCAACCACTCAAGATCCCTCCCACAGAGATAAATACTACATTTTACTGCTGGATTACTGCCCAAGGCAGAACATTGAGAAGTTACAGAAAGGATTTAAGTTTAAACAGTAGAGTTGCTAAGGAATACTTCTATATCATTAAATAAGACAAAACATGAAGAGTAAGAGTTAGATTTAATGATTAAATTATTACTGATCCCAGCTCTTACACTCTTCTCATAATTAAGGAAAACATCAGGTTTAGGTAATCATAATAAACTTAAACAAAAATATATGCATTGCACAAGGATAAAAGCAACACTGAAACTGTAAAGATTTTAATTTCATGGAAGAAACTAAAATGATGCATTAGTGGAATAGTGTAAATGGGAGTATTTTAGTAAGCAAAATAAATATTTAAAACCACGCACCAATGACAGAGTATCAAAACAACAGAACTTAGTATTTTGAAGGATACCATCTACATTCCCTTGTGTTAAACACTGCTAAATACAGTGGCTTAATTATTACTACACTGCCTTCAGCAATCATTGCTTATATTAGTGCTGTAAAAAGTAACGAGAATATAAATACTGTTCCAATGACAGAAATAGTAAAGCCAGCTTGCTATAAACAAGGAAGAATTTACTACACCAAGGAGTCAATCCACAGCCATTGATACAAAGTCAACAAGGACTACTGCATAGCATACTGGTTACTGTACCAAAAGTGCATTTATCAGCATTCAATGAATTGGGGAAAAAGTGAGAAAAACACTCAAAATTTTATGTACGTTTTAAAAACAACCAGTTGATTGACAATTAAAGAAAAAAACCCACATTTCCTTTTAAAGTAAAAGCATAGCCTGAAGATCTTCAGAGCGCCATAAGATTTCTGTCAGGTAAAACAGTACAAACCATTAGCATTGTAAGTAAAGAACAGTTCAAAGGCTGTTATATCATTCCATATTCAGAACGCAACTGAAAATGTTAGTGTGTTGTTGTATCCTCCTATACTACAACCAGTGGCATTTTGATGACTTTTTGTTAAGTTCTGGAAACAAACAATGCAAACAGAAATTATTTTTCATGTATAGCAGAGGTCTAGAAAGATTTAAACTGGTGATATGTAAACTGAAATGTAGATAATAATACAAACAGATTTATATGGGGGAAAGCAGCAGTGTTTGGCTTATCTCATTAATTCTCCATTCAGTTGTTACACTGATTCTTTGAAAGCATTACTGAATATCCCTGACTACCAATGATTTTTATGAGTGTTGTTTTCTCACTAGTAGGATTCTGCAATTAAGATTATTCTCAACCATTTATCCTTCTATTCTCACCCATCTCCCACATCGTATTTAAAAGTTGCAGTTTTCTCACATAAAGCATTGAAATACCTTTTGCTGCTTGCCAAGTGATATGCAGTCAACATTATTTCTACTTTCAAAGTACTGAGACCACCTTCCAGTTGGATCACATATTAATAACTAAAAAGTGTTCTCCCCTTATTCTACTGTGATGTGATAAAGACTATTCACCATTTAATATACGTTCAATCTCTTCTAGTCTTTTCAAAGCAGCAACTCTCTTTTTCTCAATGTCTTTAATTTCTTTTGTAGATTTTTTGGGAGTCTCTTTGTTCATATTGTTTTTCTCTGTTCGTTTCTTATTTTTTGAGTGCCCTTTATTGGTATCAACTGTGGCTTGGGTGATTTTCTGCTCATTTTTTACCTCTTTCAAATTCCGAAAGGAATTCTTTTTTTCTTCTGTAGCTACAGTTGCAGTCCCATCTGCAGGAAGTGACGACTGTTCTGTAGCACTAACTGATGCAATTTTACTTCTAACTATGTTTAGATGACGCTGAATATACTCTTCATGAGGTGCCAGTGCTAGCGTTTCAACCAAACATTTTTCCGCTTTTATTAAGTCTCGTTCTTCGAAGTAAACCACACAAAGATTATGTTTTCCTTGTACATTGTTGGGATCCAGTTCCAAAATTTTTTCAAAACACATTTTTGCGCCAACAATATCCTTCTTTTGGTTCATAAGGATATCTCCTTTCAAAATCAGACCTTTGGTATGATCAGGGTAGTATCTCAGTAGGTCTTCCAGGACAGGCAAAGCCATCAATTCTTTTGCTGTCTGAGAATAAAGCAGTGCCAAATTGAACAAAGCACTTCGGAAGTTTGGTTGTAGCCTTATAGCTTTCTTCATCCATGCCTCTGCTTCCATATCTTTCTTGTCATCCATTGCCAGCATACCTAAATTGAAGTACCCATTTGCATCCTGTGGTTCTTCTTTCACATAATGTAGCAGTCTCTGTTTAGCTTCAGGTCTAAGCCGAGCATCACCTAAATGACAGAAAATGCATTTAATTCTAGATTTACTCTGAAGGATTTTTAGACCAGGCCTATAAAATGCTATTTTTTATACAAATTAAAACATAACATCTTTAACAGAGAAGAGAAAGTGTTTTAAATGCTACTTTTTATCATTGCTGCATAACAGCAAAAGTAAATGACAACCACCTTCTTTACACAATGAAACTAATTACAGTTGACTTATAGCCAAAGTCAACATCACTATTCTATTACTTATTGAATTATATTTAAGTTTTGGTATAACAGATACAAAAAGGTGTCTCTACAAGTTTAAGATTAAAGTCATTTTCATGTATGATTGAGCAAATAGAATGCAGAAAAGATGTCAGTTCTGACGAACCAGCTCTCAGAGGCAAACTTGGGAGTGGAAGATATCATTTTGTTAAAGATAGACTGAAAAAGTTTAAAGAGATCACATAGTATGACTTCAGATGTAGCCAGGCTAAAATCTCTTCTAACACCAAAACAATAAAATCTATACCTCCCATATTTTAATTTGCATCAGTTCGAAAAACATATGGTAAAATAATCTTATCAGATAATACAGGATTAGCTAGACTATCTTGTAATCTGTGCTATTTTTCTGAATGCTCCAGTGACTATATTTTAGTGAGGAATTCTAGGAACAGACTTACTGAAGGATGGGGGAGCAAAGAGCTGATTTTAAGCATCATCTTTCACCTCCTGAAACAGTGCTGCACCTTCCAGTATGAATATCTGAACACTAGATAGCTAGTGATTCTGCTTGTTTGAAGCCCCTTGTGCTTCTACAGACAAGGCACTTCTTGTACTACCTGACTTACAGTGTGAGAAGAGATGGAGAATAATCCACTTTTATCAGCTCCAATCAACTCCTTATTATATCTTTCTTAGAGGTAGTTTACCATCCCAACAAAAGCAAAACAAACTTTACTAGTCACTTGCCAAATAATCTTTGCAGAACTTCTGCTTTCTAAGAATAAAACAGTTCATTAAAGGAAATTAAATAAATGGAAATACACAGTATTTATATAAGGGACAACTAACATACCAGATTCCTGCATTAGCAGTGCTGAGTTGAATAATGCCAGTTTATGCGTTGGGTTGAGTTCTAGTGCTCGGTTGAAATTCTTCAGGGCTTCTGTTGGATCTTTCAGTTCAATGTAAACAATTGCCAAGTTGTACCACAGGTCTGCATTGGTTCTGTCTAGTTCTAGAGCTCTAAGATAAGCTTCCTTAGCTTTCAGAGGTTTGTTCATTTTTAAAAGTAATTCTCCCCTGTTGAAGAATCAGATTTAACCTTGAACTTTTACTCCCACTAATATGAAAATAATTCACAGGTTTTTTAAAAGTTTGCCTTCCTATAGACAATATATATAACAGCATTTATTTTTTTTATAAACACAAAACAATACAGGACCTTCCTTACATACCATTCCCAAAGCTTTCAGCTCTCACAAATCTGTACACAATACAGATATGCAAGGCAAAAACCAAAAAAGAAATGTACACTGCAACAGCTACAGGTTAGGCATCTTTGCACCTCCCTAAGTCCCAATGGGAATCACAACTAACAAAATGGTGAACAGAAGCCTTAATACCCGTAGCCACATTACTCTTATCTATTTAGATGGCCTTTATGTTCTTTTTAGTTAAGTCTTGTATTTTCTGGACCCCCTTTAACAAAGAAGGATTAAGAAAGCTCCATGATTCAGACTAACCAAAAGCTTTTTAGTTCAAAACTGAACTAGGAGAATTAGAATTCCGAGTTTGAGATTCATAAATAAATCTAATGGAAGCATCTTGCTATACAATGTTTGAGTACACAGCCTATGTGGAAACACACCGTTTGAAGCAGGAATTTAAAAGAACAGGGCTTGTAATGAATAACTGATTATTGCCCCAAATCTTCATCTTCTTATTTGGAAATGAATCAATTCCAGCAGCTAATTCAACTGTATGAACTAAATACTGTTCTTAGCGCTGCAGATACATAAATGTTTATTGAAAAACATGTATCTCTAAAATTAGAGGATACCTGCTGATGTAAGCCTGCTTGAAATCCGGTCTCATACTAATTGCTTGTCGATATAATTGATCCGCTTCTTCAAGGCGAGATTCATTTGCTCGAATGAGATTTGCAAGATTGATATAAACATTCAGATGGTTAGGAGCAACTCTTGCTGCATACTTTTTACCTGGAATGATCTATCAAAAAGAATATATGTACCAAATACAGATGAGTAAAAATATGAAAGACAATCAGTATAGATCTTCACTCTACCACGTTTGTTTTAGGGTACCACTGGATTTTAGTGTGCAGACTCTTAATGATTAAAAATAACAATTCTTCTTTCACAGAAAATCATACCAAAATATAACCAGAATATTTTTTCTTCTTTAGTCATCTATGTTTCCACAGAATTAAGATATCAGTTAATTAAGCTCTGCTATTACCTAACTGGGCTCACACAGATAGCCATTAAAAACCAACCAGACCTTGCAAAACTTGACCCATGCAGACAAAGAATATTTCCTAAAGCCTCAACTGATATTCTATCAGACAGTTTAATTCCTTTTTTTAACCCTCTAGCCTAAGATAACTGAAAGCAAGTTTTTACCAGCCACTGATTCAGCAGATGAAAAGTAGTCATAAAAGATGAAAATGCTATGACATTGCAACTGTTGATCTTTTTATAATCTTCATACTGTTTCACAACTTTTTTATGTCATACTTCTACTCAAGGGACTGCTGATTTTTGTCGTCAGCCTCATTTACCCAAAGCTTTTGTTACTTTCATATGTTATCCAAAATATTAATCTTTCTCCTACAGAGCTAGAATAAGTAATATTGCTAGGTACAAATATAATTTAACAAATGGTAAAGGCAACAAAGCACATGTTTTTGAAAGTATGTTCAGGCGAAGATTTTTTCTTGTTGCTGCTGCAGCTACCTTTTCCTCCAATGCTGCATTTAAGCCTTCTCTTGAGGGCTCAGAAATTCAGACATTATCACTGTTACTAGCTGCAAGTGAAAATAAACCCACTGTGACTAGAAACTGTAGGTGTACATTTTAAACTGTTGCTTTCTTTTATATCCTCAAATTTCAGCAAAAAAACCCTAAACCCAAAGCAGTATAAAAACTAGCTTTAAAATAGTTTTAACAAAGAAGTTGCAAATTAGCAGTTTTTTTTAACAGCCATGACTGTATGCAACCTACTCTTTTAATAGATAGGTTTTAAAAAAACCCTAATAACTTTGAAGTATATGGAAACACAGAGCTTCCGGAAAAATAAAAAAAATATATCATGAATTTAAGTCTAGAAGAGTTCCCTCCTGTGGTGATAGATAAAATAAAGTTACTAATTACCTGTGGCATCAACGATTTTGCAATCATGTATGATTCTTCGGCTTCTTTAGTTTTGTTTAAGTTTTTATAAGTTCTTCCTACATTCATGTGGGCACCTATATCATCTTAATAACAAAAAAAAAAAACCAAAAAGAAATTTCAAATACTTCCATGCACTGAGTATCATGAAAATAAATACCCATGCCTCCAGAGTAGCATGAAGTACAGGTACTGCGTGAAGACCAAAACAGGCAATTATGTATTATTCCTAATCTTAATTATGAAGCTAGAAATTTAACTGTGACCCAAAGATGGATTATAAAGTTATTTGGGAAACGGTAAAAGATTTGAGGTCATACTTGCACATATCTATCTCACTAGAGTAGAGGCACATAAATTCAAGGTTATTTATTAGGCTTCTAGAAGGAAAAAGGAAAGGTTGTCCATTACTACCTAGAACTTCTTTTGAAATAAAATGTAATACAGAGTAAATGTACACTTTCTATCTAGATTTAATTTTTTTATACACCTCCTTAGTTTTAAATAAGAAAATAAAAAAATAATTATGTTTTATAAGAATTACATTTTAAATTAATTCAAAAAGAATGTAATCCAAATAGTAGTTTTGAATGCAAAGTCTCTGCATCTTTTTATAGATAGAAACTTTTCTGGAGGACTTTTTTTGGAGTTTATTTCCAAAATCTATGGATCAATTAACTTAGTGTATGACATTGTTTGATATTCAGCTGGAGAAAAAACAGGCCATTGAGAAGATTTTTTTTTTTAAATAAGCTAAGTATATTGAAATATTAGGAGCACAGAGATGCCATTCAACAGTAACTAGTCAAGGTTTTTACCTGGTTGCACTTGTGTGGCTTGTATGAAGAATTGCAGAGCTCTTTCAAAGTTCTTTTCATTTTCTAACGCGTGCCCCACATTGTTCCACAGTTTTGCATTGTTCTTGTTTACCTAAAAACAGGAAAAGAGACACCAGTGCATAAGGTATTAAGCTGAAATTAGTTAACCACTGATTTTCTTTTAACTATGTCTTAAAGATGTAAAAATGCACAGCAAAACATAAATTTGATCAATCTGCTGTATGTAAAGAATAACAAAACAATGCATACAGAATGACTTGTTCATTGAAAGAACTTGTTGCTCAACATCCATTTTAGTTATTTCACCCTAGAAATATCAAACATTTTAAAATCCATTATAATTTCTATGGGATGTTGCATAATCTATCCTATCATGCCATATGCACATTGAAGAAATTCCTGAATGCATCAAACTTTTTGTAGATTTTTGTACCAAAACATATCGTGCTTTCATCCAGTTAAGAGAATAAATACATTCAACTGCTTTAACACAGAAAAAGTAATCATTTATTTCTTGCATGTGAATTCCCGTGTGTGCATCACAGCACTTTTAAAGCATTCCCAAAAGCAACTAATCAGATGTTAATACTGTGGATGTAGAAATAAAAGTGGCAAAACAAGGATCATTTCTCTCAATTTTTATCATGCTCTACTGCAGCTTTTTAAGAACAGCAACGCAAACTTTTCAAATACAATACAGTACCTTTAAAGCTGACATAAACAATGTGTACTCTGACTCCCAATCCCAGTTTCTGTGCAGTGTTTTTAAGGCATGAGTGAACAGTACCACAGCCAAACAAACCCAAGAGATTTTTCTTAGCACACTATTAAATAAAGCAAAGATTTGTTATAAGCACACAAACAATTCTAATTCATACTAGAATAAATGTCTCATATGCTAGGAGGCAAATAAACTGAGGATCGTATTTGTGAATGGTATATTCTTATTTATTTGCCTCATCACCAAATGGCGCACTCCAAAATTTGAAAGCAATGTCCAATTTCAAGTTAATGTTGTTATTTAGCTGATTTTTTGTTACCCCAATGTAATTCACTTAACAAGAACAAATGCAATCCACATAATATACACAAAAGATATACAAAAATTATACTTCTGTTAGAGCTTAACTGTAATTTAAGGCAATGAACATGATCATGATGTCAAACAGTGAAGTTCTTTAAACCACTGTATAAAATGTCAAAAAATGAAAAAAGCAACTAAAATACCACCCCATCCTTTTGTTTCATATCAGAGAATTCCACACAAATTCTTTACTGCACACATGATCAATCTTTCCCGCACTGTAGAACACATCTTAAGAGAGAGGTCTGCTGTGGAGACAACCCATAAGCAAATAAAATCCTACTGCTACTGTAACATCTAAATAGGAGAAAGATTTAGTGTCTTTGTAGGAATTTTATTTTTAAAGCTGCCAATTCAGGCAAAAGTTACTCTCTGCAACAAACCTGTCAGGAACAATCTTCTTGTGCATTTCATGGAGTTCATTTTTCTGGAGTTCAAACATGACCAACTAACCACAACAGATATAAAACATATGCATTAACATGGTGATCATTTGGTCCCTGAATTCTAATTTAATTATGAAAAAAAAAATGTTAAAACACCCAGTAGTCTTCCTACAATTATGAATGTAATTTTGTTTTTAAAAATCTCATTCTTGAGCAGACAAACCTGACTTATGCAATAGCTGTTCACACTGTTGCATACTTCATAACGGTTTGCTAAAAACGGAAAGGTTTTTCCCCCCTCCATTTTTAAGATATACAAAATGCTGTGCAGACTTAAGACTACTGTGCTTGGTTTTAAAAAATACTAAAAAGTAGAATAGCAGAATTAAGAGAGAAATTCTAAAACATTAGCAAAGTGACCAGTAAGAACTGACATATACAGTAATCTACATCCCCACCAGCCTTATGAAATGTTTATTTTTCCACATATTTCTAAAGCAAGGAGCCTTTGCTCTCTCGTAAGACTTTTCAGAGTGCCAATTCCCAGCATTTTTGTAGTAAATGACACTGCTGCCTAAGTTTTCTCCCCAGCCATCCTCTCCTGGTTCCTTGCTTTCTTTCACATCACTTCTATCTTTACTGCCACACAGTGAGACTTGTAATAATACTGTCTCCTCACTCACACAAGATATCACCAATTTCTCATTATCCAGTGCTGTCAGCTTTGGCAGCATCAGTTAGCATAAGCTACACTGCAGGGCCTCACCTCTCATGATAGCAGACAACATGGACTGGGGATTGCTGCCTTTCCATTTGCCTGAGTTATCATTAGGATGTCATTGAGATAACAAGGGTAAAGCATCAAGGTCAGAGAGAGGTATGTGCAGATCAGTGTAGAAGACAGCATCAAAAACAAAGGTGTGAGCAAAATGTGCTTTTAGAGTAGAAGTTCCTAAGGAGAAATTGTTACCCAAAATGCTCTTTAGTTTAACAAATACTGAATGGCTCTAATGTCCATTCATAGCATGGAATGTCTGAATATTTAATCTGTAAAAGATATTTTAATATGCTGCAGACAGATATACAAGCATTATATAAAAACTTCAGTCAGTAATCACCTTTGAATAAAGTACAAATCAAACCTGGGCAAGAAAATCTTTTGCCTGATCCTTAAAAATATCTGGGATTTGAACAGAAAACATTTGTGTTTCTTTACAGAAAAGAGATGGGTTATACTACTAAGCTCACAGGTAAAATCCATTTTGTAACAATGTGTAATTTAAGTTACCCAGCATTCTAAAAATGTTTGGTGCTATCTGAGGCTTTTTAAATATATATATGTATGCTTATATGTTTACATAAAATACATAATGTGTATACATGTGTGTATGTATGTACAAGCATATATGTTTTAAACAAATGTTATGATAGCCTCAAAATAATCCACTGGCCTCTTAAGAAGTTCTTTCTTGTTCACATGACTTCTTGGTCATTACTCTCGTGTTCATGAAGAACTTGAAACAGAGTAAGAGCTCTAACATAATAAATGCATACTGGTAAAAGCTCTACTAGGAAGCATACAGTTATAAATACAGTTATCTTATATGAAAATGAATTAAACCCATTACAGGTAACAATACCTTTACCTTTTATGTGATAATTTCTTCCATCCATGCGCTACTAAAATGCAGAATCCCATGCTAGGAACATACAGCACTCGTTCTGCTACTACGAATCCAACAGGAAAAAAGAGGTTTGATGCAGGAATGAATGGTAGCACTATTAAGCAGAGTGCCTAGAAAAGAAATGCAAACTAATTAGTAATCAATATTAGGCAGTGACAAACTATTCCCAAGAAACAAATTATGAAGCAATTACATACAAAATGCCAGAAAAAGATAAACACTGTAGATCTTTGGGTTGTTTTTATTTTATCTTAAACATTAAAATCTGTTTTACATTGAGACCACTCTGAACATAAGTCTGAAACTGCAAATGCCACTATTCCTTACTTAAGGGCCTACAAGTGTATTTGCTTTTCTATATTACAGAAAAGAGCAGCTGTACGACGAAACACAAGGATCAAAGGATCAAATTCAAAACAATGTTTTATTTAATAAGAATTCCACATATAAAAACATGACAGTGAGGACCCTAGACACTATCATTTGTAACAATAAAAAAATTTATATGATGCTTACATGATGCATAAAGCAGTTACTTTTACAATACAATAAAGTCCATTTTTAGTTTCTGTAAAAAATGTGAAGAAATAACATAAACATCAGAATCAGCCACTGGATAATCATGTATTTTAGACAGTGCACTAAGGGCACCCTGAAATATCTAAAATGACAATGAACTTAAGAACTGCAATAATTGCAGCTCTTAGGTTGGTGACAGACAACAAAAGGTCTGTTTATTAAAACAGAGAAATCCATCTGCTGCAAAGGAAACGGGCATGATCATTTGCTTTAAATTCTGGGTGATTGTTTAATAGCAGTTTTACAATCTCTGGTACCAGAAAAGACAGTAATTGTTTCAAAATATCTGGCCTCCAAGTTACATCTGATTTGAATAAGTCACCCCTTAAGATTTTAAAAAAATTTACTATTTTAAATTATTACTCAAAAAGGCAGTTTTATTGTTAATTTTTAATATAGTAAGGTCATTGGTCTCAGCCCTGTGAGGTCAACATATGTATAGTGAAAGCTAATTCTTTCCAATGGGTTTCAGTGGGAGGATTCTGCAGCTGATAGAGCAACTGACTGGTCTCCACTGAGTGCTTATAATCTAGGAATCTATTAAAAAGCTTTTTTGCATGTTTTGCTCTGTGCAGTGCCTCTGATGACAAACGTAACACAATGTTTTGTAAACCTTCTCTTTACATCCTTTTGCCTCTCCTTAGTACAATGTCCTTCAAGTACAATATCTTGTCTAATAGACTCAAAGCTCTAGTACAGATAAAAATGCATTCCCTTCTGTTCATTTATTCTGTTTTTTTATCACAGTCTTTCAGCAGATGCAGGGGCTCTGTTCAGAAAATATCCTGGGTGAAAGCAACTGAAAAAAAACAACCAAAAGAGAGAAACCATTAAAGTACACAGGGAGAAAAAATAAAGCGTATGACAAAACTCTAAAATAGGACCACATAAACTATGAAGAGTACCTGAACTGCTAAGTAAGCAGTCAAAAGTTCAAAGGGAAACATTTCAAACCCTGAGTGAGGTGCAAGCATAGGGAGTAGAAAAATAAATACTGTTAAATTTTTAAGTACTGATGTCTTGGCACAACCCTTAGTAGTGTTAAAAACTTATTCCAAGAAGTCTAAGAATACCCCTCTGTTCCTAACATCTGCACAATAACAAGGCTCCAATGTTTACAGCTGAGTAGCATGGAGGGATCTTATCAGAAAGGAGGTAAAGCACCCTTGTTTGGGACACTTAGCAAATGTTTAAAGATACTAAAAAGCTTTTATTAAATCTCAACAGCCAATAAAGGAATGTCTACACCCTAGAAATTCCATGAACAAACAAGGGTCATATGACCACAGCTTGATTCTGAAACCTACTGAAAAGTCACCAAAGTAATTCTCAATCAGTACTATTCTTAATATTCAACATTTTCAATACTTATAGTGTAACCTACTTATAAAGGTCACTTAGTCTGACAGTCAAGTTGTCTGACTGTTCACTGGGATAAAGTAAACAGAAAATACAGGGGGCATGCCCTTTACTAGTGTAAGAATAATTGATTACTTCAGGCAGCATAATGACATCAACGTGCCAAAGAATGTGTTCTGATTTATAATATACAATCCCATTTTTTGTTAGTTTAATATTGTCAATTGGTAAAAAAAAAAAAGTAATTTATCTGTTCTGTCCTCTCCTAGTTCTGTTATTTTGAAAAGACAATTTTAGAACCTATAGAACCTATGACAAAAATTAAAACCAGACAAAATGAAACACGATGTAGCCACTTACTGGAGTTCTTTTTTCTGGAGATGACTGGTATCAAACAGATGAAAACTGACTGCAAATGAGTCTTTCAGCTTTTGCATCTCCCAGTAAAGTGTTCTTCCTGTGAGACTGTACTTGGGAAGGACTGTGGAGTGTCCACTAGCACTTGAGGAAGTGGGAGAAGGAATTCCTTCTTCTGTCTTGTCCCTCAAGCAGTACAGCACCAAATCCATATCCGCATCAGCAAATACAGAAAGACACTTTCAGACGTTCTTTCAATCTCCCTTCTCTTTTGCATTTTGGATGCCTCTTCTGATTCCAAATAAACATCTTTAATTCTGCAGAAGGTATAAAGCTGTACCTTTTCTGATCTCATAAAAAAAAGTAACTTCAACCTTTTCCCTTAGATCAAGCTTCAGCATGACACCTCAGGGTCTCACTGAGCTACTGGAAGAGCCAAAAGATACTAAGCTCCTTTAGATGCTAAGATCCTTTAGAGTGACATGCATTAGGAGTGTGAAACATCAAGCTGTGTAATCAATCATGGTGATGAAGCTACCATTATACTAATATCGTGTCATCCATATGGATAGCACATAGAATTAATAACTGCCAGGATAGTTTTTTATTTTGACCAGCACAAATTCAAGCTTTTATTGTCAGAACTGAGAACCAAGTGTGGAAGAATTTTTAAAACTACTAATTCAGCATTGTTATCTGGAACATTGCCAAATCTGTGTAAATTTGTATCATTAAATAAAGATTCTCTTTCTTCACTTTAAAGATGGTACTATGACTTCTCTACTAAGTCAGACTGAGAGGACATCAGAAAGAAATTGTTCTTTCCCACTCTTCTCCCTCCCAGCAGACTACCCAGTCTACATCAGGACATTAATGGCTTAGTGGAAGGCAGAAATAGGCTTTGGCCTACAGTGTCCTTGCATATTATAGTACATAGTAATTAATTTTTAATATAAAACACTGCATTCTCATTCCCTAAAAAATTAGCTTCCAGGCACTTTGATATTACTTCTGAAAAAATCAGCATTGTACTAAAGGTTATATACACAACATAGGTATATATTAAAGGAAAATAACTTTCATTAAACAAGGATTATACTGTGTTAAGTGACACTGAGGTTCACACACTGGAATGAATGATCTCAGAAGACCCCTCCTATAAAAAACACTTGCAATAATAACAATGAATATAAAAAAACCTACCCTCAAACAAAAATTAACTGACTTACAATAATGTATGCTGTCAATTCTATTAACCCTTTCCTACTCTGAGATTTACTGGGTAGGGAGTAAACAAATGTAGGGAAGTAAAGAGGCTTAAAGTTCAGGAGGTGTCCTATGAAAAGAAGTGAAGCACTCCCCACACACATTTCTATTGCTATCAGTGCACTGTAGAAAAGTTGTTTCATCTTATGTAAGAAGGAAGATTAAACTGCTCCTTTACATTTTTTAAGTGCTGTAAAACTACATTGTTTTCTGGATATGTCAACCTTGCACATTTATTACATCAATAAGCTATCTAAATTTCTTTTCTTCATACAGTTTCCAAATTCAGGACAAGAGCGACACTACAGATCATTTTCCCAGATTTTCTAGTGAAACAAATTGCCTTGCTCCAGTGACAAGACAAGAAAAAACATGAGTCAGAACTATAATATTAGGTCTCTTTGAAGTGAAGTTTGTCAGATGATCAGCAAAGAAATTCTTAGTCTTAAATTGTGCATAAATATTCCCACCCATCTGAAACTTGTTGGCTGAGTTACATACTAAAAAAGTACATTGTTTCTGAAGCAGACTAAGATCTATGCATGAAGGTTTGTTGTTCACATAACTGCACCACTGATTTAATAAAAACCCATGGTATTGGTAATCATTAATCTTGTGAAAATCTGCAATGGAAGCAATCAAAAAGATGACTAGGTTTGGATGAAAAACATACTAGCTCACTTGCTCTTTTCTATTTCCTCTAAAATATCCATTCCTGTTAATCTATTTCAGTATTAAGGTCATATAAACTGAAAAACAGGAACTGATCTTACAGGTTGGCAAAATTAGTTTTTCCTTAGAATATGCAAAAGACTACAGGAGAGTGCCTTTGTTAAAAAGAACAACAATAGAGGAAAACTTATATTCCCAGACGTCAAAATAGGTCCTGTCCTTTTATACCCATGAGAAAGAAAATCAAGTTACTTGCTAAATACACAGCATGACTACCGATATTTAAATAAGGTAGACAGTTTGCAGGATGGAAATGCATTCCAACCCTTAAAATGTGTTTAAATTCTACTGAAAACCTCTATTTGCTAGTTGAGTTCCAAATACCTGAAAAAGGCTGAAGTACACTTTGCAAATAGCTAACATTGCTAACAAGGGGTATGTTCATTCTCATCTCATCTATTCATCTTCATCTCACCCTTGACAGAGTCACATAGTTAATTGCAATTTAACAATTTTGTTGCTACAGTCTTCCTTTTTTCTTACATGTTCATTCTAGGCCCACAGCAGATGCAAGTAGTATCTCTGGGTCATAGCAGATTAGACATGTGACCAAAACACCTGAGCCACTTACACTCTTAAAAAAAGGACAAAAACAATGCAACATTCATACCATCAGTACAGTCTTGGAGGAATCCCCAGGATATCGAAGACTGAAGACAATCAAAGATCCCAGAAAGCAAAAGAAGGTAAGGGTGGCAACATTTCTAACATCTAACAAAGACTCCACGAGAGGAATAGTTCCCATTGTCCAGTCACAGCATAATTCTGAGGGGTTGAGAAGCAGCCAAGCATTTACAGGGAGGAGGTAGTTGAAAGTCAGCTGTCTTGCTGGGGATGGACTAACAGCAGCTGGGTTATCAAACCTAAAGCAAAAGGAAGGAGAAAAAGAAGCTTTTAATGAAAAAAGACACGGTCTTGATCCACTCCGTGTTCAGCATCCAGCAAACTTTAGATTCATAGCTAGAACTACCAGTTATGGACATGTACAATATGTTGTAATCTTGCTCCATTTTTCAGGTGTGTAAGGTGGGAACCATGCACAATGATTCATCTTAGCACAGGATGGAGCGTCCTCCAAGTTTAAGAAACTGGTTTAGGATATAATCAACCTAAGTTTGAAGAAACAGAATGATTTACACCTAAGGTTGGGTTCAGTGGTCCTTCTTCACGTTTTTAACAGTTTGCTTTTTTTTTTTCCAGGGAAAATATTAGATTCTTGTACTTCTACATTGCTCACACACTTTTAAGAATAAATTACCATGTTTCAGTTCTAACATTATTCATATAGATTTATCTTCAAGCACTGTATCTGAAGACAGCCAAGCTTTCTGCATAGTATGTACCTAACACCCCCCACCCCAATTACTTTGTATGCAGTACAGGAAAATCTTATTCAGCCAAGGTTCAAACACATAGCCAACAAAAAATACTTTAGTAATAAAACACTGAATTTATGAATTACTGAGACAAGCAATTGTAGGCCACATCTTACTTATTGGTGTCTATAAATAAGAACCCCTTTACTATTACCTTGTAAACACTGGTAGTTGAGACTGGATAACCTGGACTCGGACAACTACAAGCAGCAGTGTACTGAACATTAGGACTATGAGCTTCAACAGCGTTTGGAGCATAGAGAAAGGAATACTGCCCTTCCCTCGAAGAATCTGTACAGCTGTGTCCAACAACATTGGCAAGGTGTACTGCAAAAGAAAGAAGTTTTTATAATCGGATTCATTAATCTCTTCAATAAGTACGAGCTACCTAATTTTTTTTCTTGTTTTTCTCTAAATGCCTGCTCTCAACTGTTACTTATTTCAGCTTCTTAAGAGTTTTCATGACAACCTCAAAAAGAAGTCTCCCATTCTAAATAAAAATAATTCAAGTATTCTTGCTAACACTATGATAGCTAGACTTGTATGCCTGTAGTTCTGTATTTTGCAGTGACAGATTAAAACATCTGTACCATCTTCAGAGGCTTCAATATATCAAAATTTATTTCACGGACATACTTGAAGAGGAGAAATCACTATTTTTAAAATTATCAGCCCCTCTGAAAACCTGTCTTATAAACAAAATTCCTTCAAATGATAGAAATACTATTCACTTTGTGATTAAGACATGGATTTCTATTTTATGCCTCTATTGCATAACCCATCTCTCCCTGCCTCATGAACATTATGATCTTGCACATTGCCTATTACACACCCTAATTTCTTCCCTTCATACCTCTTTCCCTATGTCTTCATGTCTTGTGCTGGGGATGATCTATTGCTTCACGTATACTGGTTGGCTGAACTACAGATATTGATAAGTTTTTAAGAACTGGTCAAACTTAGTTCATGCCACACATGTGCCCTCAGAAGAAGCCCAAGTTTGGATTTTATCTTTTTTTCCTCTATTGACTAACATAAACTTGTTAAACTTACATGAAATTGATGATCAGACTAGAAGAAAGGAAGAGTGCATCGAAAAGTACAGTCAAATCTGGGTGATTTCTTTAGAAATCCAGTCTAAAAATTATATGCTTATTCCCTAGACTTGCAAAGGCAATAGTTACAAATACACATATTTCTGTAAGCACAAAGAAACGTGACTTTGGTATTTTAGCCTTGAGTATGTATCCCCGAAAGACAGATAATATTTCGGCTTTTACTAGTGCATTGTTTTCAAAATATTCCTTTAAGTAAATTAAGAAATAGTAAACTAGAAAATTATTAGAATATGCAATCATACATTTTTAAATTGCAAGGTTTGACTATTAAAAAGCCAAGAATTATTTCACTGCAGGAGCATCTTGTTTCTCTAATCAAAAGTTACTATTAAGACTTACCAACACTTATATGAAACCCATCAGATTAGAAATTAAATTTAAAGACATTCTTAGAACAATCAAATTTCATAAGAATTAGTGATTTAAATAAGACTACTCTAAATGTCTGGTTATTCATTAGAATGTGATTAAATGTATTTGCATATAATATGTTCCCTGTTTTTACTACAGGAATTAAAAACAAAGAAACCCCCATCTTTATGCACTGCAGACTTCAATCAATACTGTTATATGCTAGTCTTTGCAAACCTAAATCAACTAAAACCTTAGGTTTCCATTAAGACATGTCAATTCTTTATTGAGTATATTTGCTAACATCTCCGTATGGCATGTAAAGGGAAACTTAAGTCACTGGATTCCCTCACCATGAATCATGCATATTAAACATAAATTGAGTAAAAAAAAAAAATTCTGAAAAATTTAATAGAACTAGAGTTAATCTGAACTGACAAAAATATGTGTTGAAATAGGACACTTCAAAGTACTTAGTGGCTCAATACAGAACTCCTGAGAAGGAAACCAATTTATTTTTCAACAGCTTACCCCTTGAGCAATAAATACTTCATAAACACAGCATATCCCCACCACTGTTATTCCTTGTTCTTTACACAGTGTTGCAACAGCTACTAGAAAGACAGTCACTGCAATTGGAGTCCACACTGCAAATAAAGAAATTATTGAAAATGTTTCATCTTACAACAAACCCAAACATTTAATAAAGTAAATTATCCTAGAAAGTGAAGCCTTTGGCTCCTCGTGTTTGAACATGCTATGTTCTATAAGCTTATTCCGTATGCCATTTGTCATCAAAGGGAAGATAACCAGTTTTACTCTACAGAAAATATAATACATGTATCAATTTTTAAACTGCCTCCCTTAAACTGAAAGAACTAAATGAACAGCAAAAGACTTATCTATGATAGGATAACAAAACCCCCCAATCTTTCCTAATTCACCAGAACACTTTTTCAAATGGAAAACTTTATAGAGAGTCAGGAATTTTCACAAGGTCAGTTTAACTTTGAAAAAGAGGCAAACTTCCTACATCTTGCCTCAAACTTTGCAGCTTACTTGTGACTGTGTGAGGGATCTCGGCATACTTCCACTTATGTGCACTAATAGAAATCAGTGCAAGAGTCCCTTACTCTATGTGTTACAAAGCAATGGAAGAAGTGCTTAAGTCTTCAATTAAAAAAAAAAAAGCCAATTTATAATGGAAAGTACTATTACATGGGTGTCTTGGGGCTAAAGAGTTAATAACTTGCTGAAAAACCAATACAACCATATTATCAGTGATACAGCAATTAGATTATGTATATATTTGTCAATCATTTACCTATGGTATTATCTGGCCCTTTAGATTTTGTATATGACAAAAAAGCAGCTAGAAAAAAGATCGATGATAAAAGCTCTGCTCTGCCCACAACTCCAGTTACCTGAAAAAGAAGAAAACCCAAGATTATTCTTCTAGTGACTAGTAGCACAATAGCACATGACTTATATACTATCAGGATATGCATGAACAAAATCTGTAAACCAAGCAAAAAAGGCTAAGAAGAGTAAGGCTGCTTTCAGTTCAATCAGTACTGAATTCAAGAATAGGAAAGGCTGGTGGCCACCTGTGGCTCGTGTCTCCTTAATGGTGACAGGGACACAACTGAGAAATGAGGCAGAAACTGGGCACATTATCAACTACTTTCTTCATAACAAATTTCAAGTAGTGCCCCTTTGGTAATGAGGCAGAGAGGAATGGACTTTATGAAAATTTGGAGAAGTGCTAAAATCCGTAAGATAGAAGATTGTTTTGAAATCCCTAATGAAATACAGATTAATTTTCATTTCAGGAGCTGTTTTCGAAAAACACTAAAGTACAACCAAGAACCAGATATGGATGACAGATCACTATGTTAATGGTTACTGCAGTAGCCACTGTGCTGACCACAGTACCATTTAGGACTGCCTTTCTTCCTCATTTGTCCTCTTCTATAATGCCTCTACATCCAAATTTTTGCAAGTAAGCTGGCTGAAAAATGGCGTGCTATCCTGAGGGGACGGTCATATTTAGGTAAGGAAAGCTCACAGCTCTCCATTTAATTATGATGATGCTGAAAACTGACTTTCAGATATATGGACCCAACTAGAAGTTTTTATTCCTAGGTACATTCTTGCTGAAGCATGACTGATCCAGCACAGCATAAAAAGAGAAAGTAACTCAACAGCCAAGGACACAGTGTAAAAAAAAGTATTCAAATCTGAATTTGAAATCATGGTCTGGTACTTATGTTGGGCGTAGTGTGTATTTACCAAAGGACTCACTGAATTGTGCACACACAAAGCCTGTTTCACAACTGATAGGACACCAGAGTTTGTGTTAACATTTAATATACAGGTGTTTGCTTCCAAAATGTCCTAAAATGTTTCAAGGATTCCTGGTCTGGACCTCAGAATTATCAGCATTGATACAGAAATTAAAGAAAATTTTGTCTGTAGACCGGTTAAAGGAGATCATTATTAAAGCAAGTGTGACACCCCATAGCTGTAAAGGTGATCAACATGTCTCTGGCCAGAACAGTTGCAAAGCAGCTAGAAAGTCTGACCTGGAATTCTAAAGACAAGGACAAATGAAACTATGATGCTGTTATTCAACTCATTTCCTCAAAAGTTCTTCCTCAAAATATGATACATTACCAATACAAGTGTCCATCTCCTCTCTGAAGGCAAGCAGAAAATTATTTTGTCTTTATTATGCTCTGCTAAGTTTTCCAGGAAAAATCCCTTTATCATAAAATAGGCAAAGGTTTGAAATGTTTATGCACTGCATCTGCTGTTTCAAACTCTTGTGCAGGGGAGTAAATAATTAGGAGACTAATCTGAAGCAATTCCAGACAGATGCATTTCAAATGTAAAAGATGCAAAAGGTACCATCCAAAATACCTACATTACAGAAACTTCCAGTTGTTTTGTCTTTTATACATGTGCACAAATTTCAACTGCCAACTCTAAGAATTCTTTCTTAGTTGCATGTTATGCAGAATTCTGAATGCAAACACTTGAAAGGATAAAATGAACTATATTCCAAAAGCATCAAGCTTAAATTGGAAAAGGTGAGGGGAGGAGGAAGAAAACCCCTTAACTGAATCTTCACTGAGTACCTAAGTACAACAGCTGGCGAATTCACTTAAAATTGTACTTAATCTTAAATTTTAAGTACGACACCAAGTTCTACCAATCACACAGTCTTCAAGTGCCCTCATGTGGCTAACACCACGGATTACACACTTATTACCAAACCCTTTAATGACTGTACTTCCTAACTTTGTAATACATTGTCTTACACAAAAAACTTTCATTACACCATGTTTTGTAGGATTTGTATGGTACTTTTTGCTAACTGTGGCGTAGTACTAAAAGCAACTGTGTTACTGTCATATGCAATCTGACAGTTCAAGGATAATAAAGAATCATCATATTTGGAAAGAAAGTGATAAAATTACATAGGATGATCTGAACCATGACCCACTAATATAAGTCACTAGCAAATTGCTAATGCCCCTGTAAAGATACTATCACATTTATTACAAAGAGGCAATGCCAAACTTTGAAATTTAAAGCATGTTTTTTTCAAAGAAACAGAAGCCAAATGAAATTAATATATTATTTAAGCCATATTTTACCTGAGATTGTATGGGGGTTTGTGCTTTTGAGCACAAAAGCAAGCAATAATTTTTAGGTGTTTAGCTTTCGAATTTTTAAACATGCTACTGATTTCTAGAAAGGACATACTAGTAGCTCATACAGGAGCCAATTCTAAACCACGTTAACTTAATTCCTGTAAAGATTTGCTCCAAATACACAGATGCAGGCTACTGAATTGCTGACAGGAATCTGCGTTTTTACAGAACATGAGAGAGAGAGATGAGAACTCTTCACCCAAACAAATCAGAAAACCCACAACATAAAGAGCAAACCCTTTTCATTTTATTAATATCAAAAGATATCCCTCTTTCCCCCAAAAAAACCCCACATTAAATGAATAAAAATGTGATAATGCCTCCAAAGAAGCAAAAGGTTTAAACATTTTCAGTTTTCTGAAAATCAGCTAATATTGTAACAAAAAAAGACTGAGAATGCACTTTGCAAAACTTGTGAACTGCAATCAAGGAAAGCCAACTTAAATGGTACAGAAATAATAGCAAGGAATTCTGTATCTCTATGTTATCACTGTGTATCAGTGTTTCTCACAGAAACAGATCTAATGAATGACACACACTAGACTATTTACTCCACAACATTGCAAACCTGGTTTATCATTAAAAAGTATATAATCAGATACATTGTATAAAAAAGGCTTTTCATAGCAGTGAAAAACTCCTTCAGAAACAAAGGAAAGGGAAATATCAGAAGTATGAAATGTATTTCCTCTTTCTTTATATGGTATATGTTGAAAAATAGAAGGTTCAAACAGAATGGTCCTAAGCTGGATGTAGCATGGTAACATCAATACTAATAAAAGGCCAGCTTAGATATACTGACATAAAAGAAAGTGGACAGAACAGAACTGGTGATTAGCTAGAGGAGAGCACTTAGCAATTCTAGAAATTAAGAGGAATTCATAGTATTTGCAAAATATTATACTAGATGAATCACTACAGAACACAAATATTTATGTAAGCTAGCCAGCATCATAAAAGCCAATGTTCATAGCAGACCCATTTAATAACTAGATTAATGCTTCTTCAGTTATTTTTCAGCAGCTGCATGGAATACCAAACAACTCCAAGCATTAAAATTTCTCACCTCTACCACTTATTGCAAAGGACAGAGTAAGTATAAGTGAAAATCACACACTTCTTAGTTACAATACATAAAACCATGCAAAAACATGGAATTTAAGGTTAATTAATACAGCTTGACAAATTAAGCACATCACAGCTATACTTACCGCTTCAGTATGTATTGGGTGCACTGCAAAGAGCAGTGATGCCACTACACTGCTCCTGTTGTCCAGAAAAAGCTTACAGACCTTGAGGAAGACTACACAAACCACCACATGAAAGACCAGATTTAAGAAGTGGTAAGAAACTGCATTTAACTCACTGAACAAGTAGTTTAAGCGAAATGTAAGAACTGTAAGGGGACGATACGATTTATGACTCCTCTCCTAAAATAAAATAAATAAATCAACAGTCACCACCAATTTACAAAGGGACTTCTACTCCAAAGTATCCTTCTAAAAATCTACACATACATGACTCCCCTCTCTATTCCCAGGCATCTACCTTCAAAATAAAGACCTGAAAAGTAGTAATACTAAAAAAAAAAATAATTTAAAAATCTAGTGAATTAAATGAAAATGCAATTTACAATTAAGATCTTAAACAGATAATTCTATTTCTCCTACTTCCACACTTTTAATGGATTATTCAAGTATTTTGATTATTCTGCCATTTCATGGTTTAGATATTTTTTTTCATAAAATAAAAATTCAGTGTGATCAGCTAAATGTATTTTCTACGTATTTTCAATGTCTAACAGTCATTATGTCTATTTAGACTGTTATTCCATTCATAAACCCTTTTAAAAACTACACTTAACACCATCTTCCTGTCCCAAAAGGCATTTGTCAACCCATAGCCTGTTGATATTTTGCTGAACGTGTCCATAAAACAAAGGAAGAAAATATAAGGAAGAAATGAGAGGCGTGGGGGTGGAGTGAGGAAGGACATGACAGGGAACCAAACTGCACATACAAACAGACAAAAACACATGATAGGAAAAAAAAAATATTTAAAAATATCATGAACGATCAAATTAATCTGACTTAACCCAGTTAAAATTAACCTTTCAGGTGGTTTTAACTACAAAATCAACACTGGCTTTCTCCCACTTCAAATGGTTAGGGTTTTTTTTTTTTTTTTTGGTAAAAACGATGTTGAAAAATACTACTTGCACTCTTACTAGAAGGAGTTTAGGAACCTACTTACTCTCAATGACTACAGGACTAGATGGCATCTGAGAAAGTCTGGAAGCTTACATAGTTTTCATATAACCCCATAATGAATCAAGGTCTATTTGTAGCAACTACTTCTCACAAGGAACTAACCCTGTGTGTTAGGGACGTAAGAAAAGAGAAGATTACAAGGCAGAATGCCTTGATAGGCAAAACCCCCTAGATTCAGGTATTTTTTTATTCATTTGTTCAATAATGGCACCGTGTGTAACTTTCTAAAACATATGTAAATCTTTTAAACATCATTAAATGGCAATGGCTATCAACAACTTTAATGCCAATGCAGCTCTTCAGATAAAAACATAGCGAATCTACACAGGCTACAAAACAAAAACTCTGAATTCACATAAACATATTTACTCAAATAAATTTAATGGATTCAATACCCATTCTCTAATTCCTAGCTTTGTTGTTTAGGACTGTTATCTTTCCTTCCAGATAGCAATTATAAAGAAATAACCTTGTATGCCAATGTCTAGCTTTTGCTGGAGGAGAAAGGAAAATCGTCAGTTGTTCAATTTTGATACTGGAATTAGATAACACACAGCATCTTGAAGCACGATATATGACTTCATTTACTTACAAGTTCTTTTATTGAACAAAGGGAAGGAATATAAGTGACATCAGTTCCCTATCTTAAAGTGTTACAAAACACTTTAACACCAAATTCCATGAGAAACAAACTATTCTGTTAAAACCACATTAGGGAAAAGAAGTGTAAAAACTCTCTGTAAGGTTTTTTTTTCATTTCCTAAATGCCTCCAAATGTTTCAAACAGTTTACCTCAGACATTGGAGTGCCCCAGAAGTCATTCTGAAACAGATTTTTTAATGGAGTAGAAGGATGCAAATCTTTGTTGTCCAAAATTGCTGAAACATCATCAAAAACAAAGCCACAAAAGAGACTGTTCCAGTAGCAGGCTGCCACCACACCAACTATTAGTGCTGCTTCCCTCAGGCTTATATCAGCCATCTTCTTCAAGACTTTTCATGGACAAAAGCTGAAATATACAGACAGAAACTTGAGTAGTTTTACTGATTAAAACTGAACTTGATAAATAAAGTCAGATTATAACATCCAGTATTTTAGATGTTAATGACACTACAAATCAGTAAGATAGAAAGCTCTCCTCAAGTCTCATCCATCTTACACAATATAGTGTTTAAAAGAAATACTCTCACTAAAAAGTCTCACACCTAAAAAGCCCTCACTTGTGTGAGGCACACTGGGTACACTGCTACATTTCATGTTTTACTAAAAAACAGAAGATTGACGATAAATTGTGATGTAGTTTTTAGCACAGCTATTGCAGTTCCAGTGGACTCTACAAACTAGGGAAATATGCTTAAGTTCTCAGAAACTTCTAACTCTAGAACCTTGAGTAATTTAACATACATTCATGATTTTTAGGTTTCAAGGTGTTTCTGAAAATATTTCACAAGCAATTAAAAAAACAAATTTCAAACATTCTGAAGAACAAACAGGAAACTTGAACTTCATAAATATAGGTGTTCAAGAACAGGTAAAAAAGGACATTAGTAATAATCAAAAGTTAAATTTACCATTGAAGCTCACACTTCACTCATTTGCATTATTCATAGAAGTTCATCAAAAGGTCGTTTTTTTTCTTAGCTCTGCCAAATGCTCTGATGTCACTGAATGTTCATGACAGTCCCGTCTGAAGAAAAATAGCATGCAAAAAGGACATTACAAGTGAACTTTATCTTACATTATTTTCTCTCATCTTGCATAAACTTCCTAAGCCATAGAACTTAGTAAACAGGTTTTATGATTATTTTAAAAATACTGTATGGGTGACCTGATCAAAAGGTGAAATTACTATGTACAGGGTTGTTTGAAGACACTGTTCTGCCTTGAAAGAATAAGAAGGTAACTACAGGTCAAAGCCATTCTTTTTGACCACTGGTTGACAGAGCACAGATTACTTGATTACTGTCAAATGTTGGCACCAAAGATATTGAAGCTGCAGGCAGCTGAACACACTGATTTAGTTGTAAGAGAGATGACTGAACAAAAATATACAGCATTTTCCCCAAAATTAGAGAGGAGTAACATCTGTAGGGACACAGAACAGCTAATACTAGCTGGATAATGTGGATCCACAAATATGTAAAAGCATCAGCCTTATGTCTATCAGGGGTCACACATCAAATCTGATGAGTTATCTGGAAGGTACAGTCTGCTTTACTGTCCTAAACCCTGAAATGATGGTGATTTCTTTTTTTGCTTTGGCTTGTTGGGTTTTTTAAATTGTGTCCAGATTTAAGTATATGGTGTGTTGTTATAGGATAACATGGGACAGCTCATCCAGACAGGTAATCTCAGCTGCGGTTTGCAGCCTGGGCCCCAGAATGCGACAATCAACTATCACAACTAATGGTAAAAGAGCAGTGGTACAGGAAGGAATACACTTACAAGAAGATACAAGTGCAGTTAAGCTAAAAACCAGGACAAAGATCATTTAAAAAGGAATCAAATCAATCCATTCAGTGTTACTCACATAATGGCAGTAACAGCTTTTTTGTTTTCTTCTTTTGTAGTACTTGAAGCACTGGCTATCGGTGTTACTTCAACTGAAAAAGAACCTTTTACAAAGTTGCCACCACCTTTCTAATAAAAAAAAAAAAAAAAAAAAAAAAGGAAAAAATGTTAAATGCTGCTGCTATATCTGTTTGCCAGGCTGTATAAGAGTAGTTTAAAACACTAAATCAAGATTAAGTATGAACATATTTATGGTCATCTTGGCAGCCAGAGAAATCTTACTAAAAAAAGAAAACAAAGCATACTACATGAAAAGACAGTCCACTTTTGAACTTCAACTCATGAAAGTTTTTTAGTGTCCTCTCCTCCTCCCCAGGAACCTGAAGAAGAAACTGCTGGTTCTCAACCTGCTACAAATAAGAGTTTGGAATTCCTTGTTTGCAACAGGTTGAAAACAGTGCAAATCCTACTTCTTGAAGTTCTCTAGTTCTACTGAAATGTAGTGACATCTGAAAAGGACCTACAACAAACACATAATGATTTTCCAACATGCATCTTTTAAATACAGTGTTACAAAAATGAATGGGACAAGATAATATTGCCACACAGAACCAACCATAAGGTTTATTTAAATTTATCCTTTAAGAAAAAGCATCGCAAAGTGAGTAGGTTTTTGATGACTTCAGACTTTACTAACAATATAGGTTTACCGATTGAAGCATTAAGCCCTTGCAGATACTGTTTTGCCTATCAAAGAGTAACTGCCAGGTAATTATTTAACAACCCTATTTCAGGAACAGCTACTGCTAGCCAACTAGGAAAAAAAAAAAAAAAAAAAAAAAAAAAAAAAAAAAAAAAGATAGATTCCTAAGTACAACCTTCTATCAAAGGGAAAAGCTTAACCAAACTTAATTGCTAGCTCCTCAACTACTTTTTTTGTAGGTTTTTACTTTTCCCTACATAGAATATATGTCAAGACAGCTACTTTACTTATCCCTTAATCCTAGGCAAGTCTGATACTTTCATAAGGCTTTCTTTATGATCCAACTTTTTAGTATTTCTTCCACCCACAACTCTGATTTTACACCACTACTGACCATGTTGTTCCCTGACAGAGCTACATTTACCTACATGCCAACAGTAGGTTAAAGACTGTTTTCATATGAATGAAAGGGACCTCTTGGGCATAAAGAAATTAAGATTTTAGCTACATCCAAAGTCAAGTTTAAGTGGTTACCCCACCATCAGAGAGCCCTATTTGAGAACTCCATAAAAAATTCATCTTTAACATCATAATTTTTTTCATTTGCATTTCACCCCCTCCATTACATGCACATTTCAATCATAGATATGATTGTAAATACATGACTATAATTTGGTCTGTCAAGCCAAGTATTTGAGCAACAGACACTATAGGCAATTCTGAACAAACTTAAATTTACTGGAAGGAATGAACACATGCAACAAAATGCACTGTTCTGGTTTTAGCAGCAAGTCACACATCACAGTGCTTGAAATCTGCCAAGCCTGGTAACCTCAAATGTATGACACCATACCCCTCGCAGAGTTTTGTTGCATGCAAAAGCACTAGGAGGTCTTGGCAACAGACAGGCTTAATGGAAATCTGTAATGGACCCCATTTTCCAGCAATCTGTTCCCAAGGCAAGCACAAAGAGAAAAACAGGAAATGCAAAACAACGTACAATCTGTAGATCACACAAAACTGAGGCACAGATACTTTATTACTCCCGACTTGCATTCCAAGGTCTTACTTTCTGAAAAATACTGTGAAGATACATAGTTAGGAAAAGTACTTTTGCCACCTGGTCTGATTACAGGGTATTTTAACGCTCTTGCTGAATTAAAGCATAACTATGGAAAAGATGTTTTTGCAGTCCGTTATGTTAGCATAACAAGGCAAATTTTGAGGAAGGCTAACCATTAAAACTACTCCTTATCAGCTACTACAGCTGGGTCTACCACCAAACTCCAAGCTCCAAACCTGGAATCATTAACATGTCGAGGATGCAGGACTAAAACAGAGGGAGGCTTATAAAAGCTCACTTGTACTTGGAAAGCCAGGTAAAAGTATCTCTGCCATTAGTCTCAGTGGAAAACAGCAATTGCTATTTGGCAGCCAACACTCTTCACGCCAACTAATCCGTTACCAGTTTGATACTGGAAAGAAAGAAGCCATATAAGGAGTATACAAAACTGAGAACCTCATAGATCACAGATTTGCAAGAGGCTGCTGAAGCCTTGGTATGATTGGGCTCCTCAAATGAGTGGGTATGTTCCCCTACTTGCCCAATCGACACGTTGGAATTTGCAATCAAGTATGGTCTTACAGTTGACAGTACTTCATCACCTCCAATGATGGATGTATTGACAAATACCTGTAAAAAACTGCCTAACAAATTGTTTGTTAACACAGTTTTGCTGTGATGGAGAACCACATCACTGAATGCTCCAACACAGGTAAACAGATTGACTGTCCCTCAAGCTACTTTTTCATCTCACCTACCTGCTACTTTTACAGCTTGCAAGACTGTCCATGAGATACCTTAACCCCACCTTTGGCTGTATGACTGCCAGTTTGTTCATGGTCTACAGAAAAGCCATAAAACCCCCCATTTGACCAGATAAAATGAGGACAGATGCATACTTTATTACTAAGATTTCTGTCAGATGTTTTAATTTACAACAGTATCTGACCATATGAAAAATAAACAGCTGAGAACAATAAGCAGCAAGATAAACCTTGTGAGACGGAAACTGCATGATCATGAGAGCCAGTTGTGGAAAACCAGAATGCCCAAGCTGTGCAAAACACCTGATTGTTAGTCTAATTTTCTCAAGCTGTTTGGCACAGAACTATGCATTTTGCACTGTGATGTTTTCATGCATGTACAGAGACATTAAATAGAAAGGACAGACAAGAAGCAGAGCTCACAAACAGGTTTGGCTTGTAAGTTATGTAGTTTTTCTCTTCCAATTTCTTGAGAACCCTCTACTAGTTCACCCAGTCTCTCCTTTAAGAATTACAGACATGAATAAGACATAACAAAAAAACAAAACACCCCCCCCCCCAAACTAAAACACTTTTAGAAAAGTAAGAGAACAAAATATTGCTCTACAATCACTACCAAATCAGTGACACTACAGAAGGTTTAGCAATACATACAGCAAAAGATAGTAGTCTGCACAAAAAAAATCAACACATATAAAAAATGCATAATGATGTTCTAAAACCATTCTCAGTTGGGAGATTTGGGAGCTTTGAAGCCATTTTCTGCCCATATGAATTTAGGAAAAATTATGAAGTATGTATTTTAGCAGGAATACAGCTACAATGCGTTAATATGCAACAGCTATTTAAAGAGCACTCCATAATTAGCTATCACCTAATGAACGTGCTATTTGCTTCCTTACATCAACAACAGACCCTTAGATGTAAGTATTTTCAACCACCAACAACAGACCCAAGATGTTACTTTTTCAACCAAACTGCAACTGTTCTCTGGAGATGACGATGTAAGCATCAGTGAGGCAACAGTCTGTAACTCCAGAGACATTTTAATAAACAGTGCTTTGTGTGAGCAATGTGAAGCATAATTATTATGTAAATCTCAAGGAACTTAATTTTGTGTTATATTAATTAGGCTGCTGGAAACAAAAATCAGGCAATTTGCATACGGATCAGGCAGTTCCTTGAAAAGCTTTGAAAACAAACTAATGAGCATTTATGCACATACCTAATCATAAAATGTGGGCTTCCCACTCTCCTGTTTGGAGATCTTAAAGCCAGTGAAGAGATAAACATATATAAAGGAGCTGCCAAAAAATAGTCTGCATCTCATTTACTCTGAAGACATGTACTTTGACAACTATTGAAGGTCCTGAACTGTTTAACACACATTCACAGTTCACACACAAAAGCATCAAATTACCAAAGGTAGAAGAAAACAAAGAACTGTTAAAAACACTCCCAGATTTATTTTTATTTTTAAAAAGGTGAGCAACAAGTTCATCTAAGAGCTGGTGGCTGTATTGATGAGTATCAGCAGATATATACAAAATAGGTTACCAAACTCAGTAGTATAGTCACTTAAAAAAGGCATTTTAATTCAGATTGTGAAGCTCTGCTAATATCTTTGTCTTGCCTACTTGCTATCCCTTCTGTATTATTATTTTTAGCTAAAGTGACTATTCTTTCTGCTGACTTGATACAAGTGTTTAACGACAGAAACAAATCATCATTTTGTTTCTGTTGTCCCTTTCCAACACAGCCTTTAAATCTATCTTTAAAATGTCACTCCAAGATACAGCTCCAGTATGAAACAACTCAGATGTGCAGCTGAGATTTAAATGAGTGGGCTTGAATCTCATATTGGAGAAGACAAGTAGTATTTGGGAAAATGGGAGGAAAAAGAATGCAAAACCTTCCCCTTTCATCTTGCTGAGATCCTAGAGAAGAATAAATATAACAAGAAAAGTTTTATTGTGGCAACCTCCCTCTGCAAATACTACAGGATCAAGAGGAACGGGACTAATCTGAAGTAGTCTTCATTCCCCAGCAAGGCAGTGGACCGCAACCTTCTCTTCATACAGTTCTCAAAGATCAACCAGATGAGAAGAACGGCATCTGACATGGAGTCAGAACATGTGTTGCAGACCAGAGGGAAGATTTCCCAGAGGGAAGACTGTGAAGAGCCTGGTGGCAACCAAGCAGCTGAACTAACACTGGGGACATTTTAGGGTACTCTGGTACAAACAAGGATCAAAACATAAAACAATCTAAAAATGGATGAGAAGACAATACTGGTTTAGCTGTGGTTTAGCTTCAATTGGTTCAATGGATCTGGTGCAACAGTCAGTTGAAATACAAACCACACAGGTATATTTTTTATTTAAAGGTATTTTATAGCTTAAAATTATTAATAGAATCTCACACTTCAAAGTCAGACCTTCAGGGTTATTTTTTTACTACATTCCAGTAACAAAATAATACCTTTTATACTTAGAATAACCAAAACGTGATTTGTTTCCTCATAGGACACTGATGTGAAAATAGCATCTTTAAAATAATGCTGATGGACAGTGTTCTCAAAATAAAACAGCAGAA